AGGGAAAATCATCCTAGAAAACACCGCTGCCAAGACACGAAACTTGGTATCTGGACCAGCATTCAGCTGCTTTTTATAAATATGTATTTTAAGATGTTAGTATTGGAAGTGTTTGGAGTTTCTTTCTAGCTTTGTGCCACATGGTTTGAAAATCCTAAACAGGCGTTTGATGAATCAGCGTCTCTTTTGATTCCTTTCTGCCCCACAAAGACTGCACATGTAAGAACATGTTGTTATGTTTCTGTAAATTGAGAACATAGCAAAAACCCCCTGAATCACCAGAAGAAGCAGTAGTGGGATATGATTTTCAAAATCCTCATTGTTACACAATGAACAAAAATACTAAAGGTTGAGAGTTGGAGCAATCGCAGCTTTTCCTTGCTCTTCTTAGTGTAAAAATGATCTTTTCTGGGGCTGCAGTCGTGCTATTTTCCATATGAGTTTGATCGTTTAAGTCTCTTTATCCTTTTTCGTTCTTGAGAGAGGAAAACCTAGCATCCACTTTTTGGGGAGACGAGAAGAAAAGAAAGGCTTAAGTCAGCAGGCTGTGCATTGGTGTCACTGTGCATTGAGCTTAAGAACTTGGGATGTGAAAGGATGAATGCATTCCATTTGGGCAAAAGAATCATGTCTGTTAGGGTTCAGTTTGCTATGGTTTTTGAGCTTTCCCTATGATCTCATCACTGGAGGAGGAAAGTATATTCTCCCACAAGAATAATCTTATAGTTATGATTCATTACTACTGTGTTTTTTGTGTGTGAGCCTTTTGAGTGCCAGACCTCCCCCTACTCTTCCCCCCAAATAAAAAACAACCACCCTGTCTTTGGCTTTATATGGTATTGCCGTAGGTGGGCTTACCCAGAATAATGGTTGGCTTTAACAATCGGAGCCTTACGTCTTTTGTCTAGAGAAGAACTTCTAATGTGTATTTATCCAGCTATTTGTCAAGCTTTTACGTTTTGTGAGGAGAACTCGTACACTGTGTTTCCAAAGGTTTGGTAAGCACTGTTTTGCATCAGTGTTCCGTTTTATGAATTTTCCTTTTTCTGCATATGATTTCATATACTTTTTGGTAAGTTCACTTGGTCTGCTGGTTGGGAACAGACAGTTTCTTAATTTTTCTTCATTCATATTTAATTTGTCACTTCAGTTCCCCAGCCCACTGCCCTAATAATTTAGCAATCAGTTCTTTGAGCAGCTGTGTGTTTTGGCAGTAGCATGTGAAGCTGGAGATGGATCCCTTCCCTCATTTTCCCACATCCCCTGATGTGCTCTTGTGTTGGGAAGATGCAGGCTAATCCTGCAATGGTTTCTGGAGCCATTAACCCGTATAGCATACCAGAAAAAGGAAAACTTGCAGATAGGCAAGTAAACCCTGTAGGATGCTTTCGAAGGCCTAGTGACGTGGCAAGTAGATGAAGCCCCTTCTCTGTATTGCAGAAAACCATGTGGACTGTGAAGGGTTCATGTATAAATACCGAGACCTGTCTCCTGTTAGAAGTACCGCAGGGAAGTGTCATCAGCTTGAAGGGTGAGAAAGATGATAAGCGACACTGTTCTGATTCACTTGGATCCTGCTTCTTGGATCTGAAGTTCAATTTCATATGTAGTAGAGGAATACGAAGGGCACTGGCTGAGATTCTAGTAACAGCCTGTATGTTAAACTCAGCATTTTCCTAAGAAAAGGTGGATCACAGAAAACTAAAGCTTGCTTTTCATTAGACCTGTCAGAGATGGAGCCATGAGCTAACAACATGGGTTTTCAATTTGGTGTAGCCCTTTGAGGTTGGTAGGGTTCGGGTATGCATCTTATTTTTGAAAAGTGGATTTTTTTGAGACTTATGGTGTCTTAATTGCTGTAGTATACTGTATATGCTGCTCAAATACTAAACTATCAAGCGGTCATTGAAGACTACACCTAAAGATTGGGGTTTTTTTAACAGAAGCTCCTGCCTCCATGCTTTTCTTCAAAACTAAAAGTAATTGCTTTGGACTGCAGAACTTTTTACCAAGAGCAAGAAATTGAAATAACCTCCCCTATGTCTAGTAATATGCAATTAGTGAACCCTGGAAAAAGGCTAGCACACTGTGGTGGTTTAATTTGTTTCTGATAGTGATCGCTTCGTTTTTTTCATCTTACTGCTGCAGTCTGATAAACAAAGTGATGGGTGGCGGGTACTGTTGGCAGGAGAGTATGTCACCTTCAAATTGGTACCTGGATATGAAAATTATAGGCTGGAACATGAAAATTTTAGTTAGGGGATTAGTGTGAAATGAAGGCAGAAGGCCTGTTGTATAATGATTGAATAGGTCAGCTGGAAATTGTTTGCATTTGTAATTTTTTAAAAGTATGTGAATCATCTTGTATCTTTGTATGGTTAAGAATAGTCCCCTTCTATTAAAATTCTTTTATTCTAAATGGAGCATGAAATATTTGAGATCTAGGCTTGTATAATATTTCCAGTTATAAGGCATAGCCTGAGAAGTGGGACTGAAAATAGTGTAACAGTTTTTAAGGAAAAGCTAGAAAATACACTCAAGGTCATTTTATTTATGCTTACTGTACCACCTGAATACCAAATAGCTCTAAAATGAGTAGCTGTTTATTCTTGTTATGTTAAATAAAATAATGTAATACCAGAGCTTTTATAAAAACTTAGGCCTGTGGAAGGACCATGGCAGGGCAGAGAGTGAGGACGCTGTGAATAAGAATGTCTGAACTTGACGGTCTGTCCTATTAATTAAGTCTTCTGATCACTGTACCGCTACTCAATCACCTCTAGTTCTTCCTTCATTGTAAGTGGAACATATTAGCTTATATCCACAGTCTCAATTTTTAATAGCATATAAGTGAATTTTTTCCCCTGTCTGACACATGATTGAGATGAATTTTTTTTTTGGCCAGAACCCTGCAAACCACATGGCTCTGCTTCCAAATCAGTATCTAGGTCCTGTCACCTGTGGTTTATCATGCCTGTGACTGATCCAGACTGATTCTAATGTGGTGAAAATTTGTTTCAGGTTCAGAAACATTACACAGGTTTTCTGTAATACTAGTATGCATTTCAGCAAAACCACCGTTTGTTGGGTACTTTGAACGATACAGAATGTTTCTAGGTTTGAACTTTAAAATAGTTGTATGCCAAAATACTCTTAAAAAATAAAGAAATCCCAGTAGGTTCTTGCATTATCCTCTTCTCAGATGAGGCAACCTTCTTATTTATCAGTGGCATGTTTTTGATGGGACTGTGACACACCTGAAGCTTGTAACTAATTTTTTCTTTGCATCTAATCTTTCTTCTCGTATGTTGTCCTTTGGTCCAAACTGTAAACTGCAAGATGAACTATGCTTAGAAAAGAAGCACTATGTATGCATATATTATAATTTTACTATCCCTATATTGAACTTATTTCTGGCTAGAAGAAGGGCGGTCTATTTTAGAGGTGGTTATCCCATTCTGATTTAGTTGTTGAGCAGGTGATGACTAGAACATGTGCATTTAAAAAATTGTTATATTTCCTCATCTGATCTTGTCTTTTATGCCTGTGAGAGATTCATGGTCTCAGTATTCTCTCTTCTGTTCTAGCCTTGGAAGGCATCCCAACATTGAGGGCTTTTCTAATTGTTGGGGTGCCATGGAAAGTGTGATAGAGATTGATGCTGTGTTTTCTCCAAAATGTCAGTAGTAAAAGTTAATAAAACAGCTGGATACACTGTTGTATTTTCTTGTGCTGGGAGGTGGAAAGAAGATACTGGGAAATTCAATATGGTCTTTTAAAAAAAAAAAAACAAACCCAAAACTCAAAAGAAACAACAAACACAAACTCTCCCAAAACAATCAACAAACTATTAAAACCCCACCAAAAAATCCCTGGGAAAGACTGGGAGGAGGAGTGGACGTCTTCTCCCTCCTTCCTAAAACATGAAGAAATATTTCATTACTTCCCTTTTGTAATTTATGAAGAATGCATGTCTCTTCAGCCCTCTGTTTTCCAAATGGCAGGCCACATTCCTTGCAAGCCAGGCATCATGTGCTTTCTATAATGTTGGATGTGTTGGATTGGTATGTTCAGTGAATTCAACCTACTGATAAGAAATAATTCCTTTCTATTTTTATTTCCTGTCTGCATCTGGACATTTCCTGTAAAGACAGCTGCGTGGTATCTCCCTCTTCTCTCCTAATAAATAGTGTGTTTATGGTATGGTCTGCTTTCTCGTGCTTCTAATATGATGATATTCATGATACACCCCCTTTTAACTTCAGACTGTACCTTAGTTTCCAGATGACTGCCATAATCAGGATTAGCTACTGATGGGATTGTGCTTTTCAGTGATCAGTAGAACCTTTTCTCAGGGAGATGATGTTGCATCTAGGTGTCAACTGTTGTAAAATACGTCAAAACCAAAAAGCATTTCACTTACGACCATGTGAAGTTTTTGTGCTGAACTTCGTGTGTGTGTTTTCCTCTGTATGTCAAAAAGAACAAGGGCCTTCCAGTCCTAATTTTTTGTAGAAGTAATTGTCACTGGAAAATGTAAACTGTGTGAAGGCCCTGCAACTCCAGATTCCTTGTTCTTCAGTCTTTTCAGAAAACTTTGTGTATTGTTATGGCATTTAATTAAACTTCATGGTTGGTGATGAGGAGAAGGGTGGGGGAAGCTGCAGGAACAAAAAGTGGGGGAAAAAAAAAGAAGAAAAAAGAAAAATAAATCTCTTCTTGATCTCTTTCATTAGTAGTAAGGCTTTTTTGTCTTGACCACACCTTTTCAGAATGAATACCTTTTAGGCAAAAGTCAAAATGCCAGAGGTGGTGTATTTAGAAAGGTTTCAGCAAGTTGCAAGGAGTATTACTTTAACATTTTGAGTTTAAAAAAAAAAGAAGCCCACCAAACCAACAAAAAAAGAAACCAACCCGAACCCCAAATTTCTCCTTAAAGATGATGATTTGCTGTAAGTAATTTTTTCTACTCTAAAATACTTGTATTTTAACAGTGAACAGAGTATCTGCCAAGCACGAGCTGCTGTAATGGTCTACGATGATGCCAATAAGAAATGGGTACCAGCTGGTGGATCAACTGGATTCAGCAGAGTTCATATATATCATCACACAGGCAACAACACATTCAGAGTAGTGGGCAGGAAGATTCAGGATCATCAGGTAAGCAAATCTCTGAAAATATGGTGTAGGAATCTTAAGCTACTTCTGTGATTTCTTTTTAACATTAAGAAATAGGTCTTCAGTAAAATGATGGGAACTGTGAATAACAAATTTATTTTGAACTTAAGTAATGAGACTGTATTGTGATTTCCCCTCCCCCCCCCACTAAGCCCATTACATACGTCCAAGGCGATAGTCCTCGTGTGCTCTTCACCATTCCTTCCTACAGACAGATACAAAGTCTAGTGGCGTACACAGAAGCCTTCTGATTCTTTTTAAGGCTGTGTCAACCTAAGAACTTCTTTCCCCTACTCTTCTGCTCTTAGCTGCAGCCTACATAGGTACCAGCAGTTCTCTTGCAGCTCTTCCTATAGTATGAAAAGTTGGATGAATGATTTCTCATCTCCCCAGATCAGCTCATTCAAAAAAAAAAACCCAATAACCTTCTGATATTTGCTTATACTTATCATCTGTCACTTTGAGAGTTCGAGAATGCAGCAACAAAAATTTCATCTTCATTTCCTTGATGAAGAAGTTATTAGATCTTGATCAAATGGCAGACTTAGCACTCTGCCTTGAAATATGCTCTGCCTTGTGATAATTTGGGTGGGGTTAAAGAGCTAATCTTTTTTGTTGGAGGAAAGCTGCTGTATATGTTTTCCTCTCTCCTAGCATTTAATAAAATTCTTATGGTCTGTTCTTGGTCATTTATTACACATCTGAAACACAGACTGATCATCTCCTGTCTGATTTGTCATTAAACGCTTATTCCAAGAATAAATGATCTCTGTGCATTTGTCTGAGAACAAACATGCGTTTCTGTCTCCCATTATTCAACGGAAAGAGATGAGAGGATATAGTTATCCAAGTGCAGTGGGCTCCTCTTAGTGGATGACTTGTAATAAATGGTTGTCCTGCTAGCTAGAATTTATCACCTTTTGTGTGAGCCATAACAATCTTGCAAAATGATAGCTTGTGATGTATAGTAGAGGCCCACTGGAACTGCATGACAGGCTCAGGGGTGCGGCAGCCACAGTGAAAGGGCGACAACTTGGTTAAACGTAATTCTGACAAATACTACATGAAGTTAACGAGAACGCATATTCACATCATAACATCATATAGTCTGCTACTAAAAGTCAGAACTGTTGATATTACTACATTGCTGTTACAAAAAAATCACTGCATCATTTGAAATGAGAACGCTTAAGCTACAAAACTTGATATAAGGTATCTCATTAGTCCCCTTGTGTATTCTCATGACTGATTTCATGCAGCATTGGAATTAAAATTGAAATGGCTATGTGCTTCAACATTGTGGTCTTGTGGATTGTGGGACTGGAATGAACCCACATGGTTAGGCAATAAAACCTATGTGAAGCTGAAACTTGTGATGAAATAGCAATGCTAAACATTCTTTTTTTTAATTATGATTATAGGTGGTAATAAATTGTGCCATTCCAAAAGGGCTGAAGTACAATCAGGCTACACAGACCTTCCACCAGTGGCGTGACGCTAGGCAGGTGTATGGTCTCAATTTTGGCAGCAAAGAGGATGCCAATGTCTTCGCAAGTGCCATGATGCATGCCTTAGAAGTATTAAATTCACAGGAAGCTGGTAAGTGTCCCTTAACTTTTTTTTATTTGAAGCTTGTTCACATACAGAGATGGAAAAAATTTCAAATCTTATGCATAGAAGTCAGTGAGTCTTGTTTCTAATGATTCAGCCTCTAGCCATTTTAGTTATTTGGGTGTTTTGTCTGCCTAATTGCTGCTAACTTGACTGCCATCTGTGTAAATGCAATTTCTAACAAGAGGACCTGTTTTCGCTTTATCTATTACATCTAGAAAGTCGATGACTTTGCATTTTTAAGGAAACAAACCCAAAACACCTAACCAACAAATGTGTATCTCTTAATCAGGGTACGTTTCACAATTTCTAGAGTAATCCAGTGTTCTTAATGTGTATTGGTATTTTTCCTTCTCATTGAGAACTGGTTTATTATGAAAATGTTTTTCCCCCTCCAAACTTTACAATTCTAATCATAGTCTTTAGCAGGTCATACCACACAGTTTTCTACCTTGGAGAGCTTGGTTCCAGGGGTAGCATTCATCTGAGCACATCTAATTTAGACACGAGATCTGTCATTTAATTTGTTTGGAGAACAGGATGACATAGAGGGTTTGAAACACTGGCGGAAAACTTAGTGGCTTTCAGTCTTCAGGTGGTGTCTGTGATAGATTCTAGGTAAGCTCTACAGCAAATTGATCAGGGTAATACTGGGACACACACAGGGAGTTCTTTTAAAAGACTTCAAGAGGCTTTTGTGTTCTTGTAACTAAATAGAATTCTTTTGTCCTCATTAAACTTTAAACATTGCCTGTGTAATAAGAGATAGTACTTCTGTGCCAGTTTTCTTTCTCTTGTGTAGAAGAGAGGCTGTAGATAACCTTATTAGGGCTGTCTCATCTGCAGCATTAAAAGGTGACTTTATCAAGTTGCTTTTCATTCTGATACTTGTTTCAAGACTTAACCTTTTAAAACTAAGCAATCTAGACCGAGGATGATCCATTCTGTAGTGCTTATGCTGTTATGCAACCTACAGTGCCAAAACGTAAGCACTACCAAGAGGTGTAAGGTGTCTTTCAGCAAGCTAAAATAATCCAGTTGTGTATACCATTCTCTACCTCCCAATTAGATGTTTTCTCCTCTAAATCCCTCAATTCTCCTTTCCTTAAGGGTTCCTTGATGGTAAACATTTCATGCTTTCTGGCTGTTTATCATCTGTCTCCCAACCATCATTTGGGAATGCATGAAGTGTTGGTTTCTACTCACTTGATGCAAAATCTGAAAAGGCCTTGGTTGTGGTAATTATCACAACTTTGAGGGTTTTATGTTATTTCCGTTCCTGTACTTGAAGAGTTTGGTACAATATGTCTCAAACAAGTGTGTATGTGTATATGCATATATATATATTCATCATTTAATTTAACTCCTCTTCCGAGCACTAAAACTGAGCTACTAGAGAGGCTGAAATGACATGGGTAGGCTTAACAGTGCTCATTTTTTAATTGGTCAGTGTGTCTTGTTTTTAATTTCATGGATTATTGTGATTTATCTAATGATTAGTTCTCTGGCTGCTTTATGCAAAGTGTCTGTGGGCTAACAACATTATTATATTCTTCAGTAGTAGAAATTTTATTGAACTAAGATGCCACTTCAGTTTGTAAAGACTTGGATAAAACTAAAATTGTTTGTTTTTAGGGGTTTCTTTAAATGTAACTTCAGTAACACAAAGCGTCATTCAAATAGTAGCCTAGAATCAAATGTAATTCCAGAGGAGGAAAGAACTCTTCTTCCTGTTGAATCACTTGAGTAATTTCTTAAATGCTGTGGGGAGGAGGAGGAGAGCTGAGCTTTGCAATGAGTCTAAAAATCACTACTAAGAATTCAGTCCTCTGTTCATCCCAAATCGTGAATTCTTCCAGATCATTCTGCCAGTAGATTCTTCATTGATGTCTGAAGTGGTCCTTCAGTTTGAGTTTGTCTGCTTCATTCAGTTTAATACCTGTTAATCCCTGGTGACTGGGGGGTCGTTTTGTTATAAGGTGGATTTTTGCTTGGCTCATGAAATGAGAGCTGAGTATGACTGTGATACCCAACTAGGCAGACTGCAGCACTGTAGCCAGCACCTGTGATGTGGTAAGGGCTTTCAGATGTAGGTCTGACCGGGACATGAGTTAAGTTGTGTAGTTATGTTTGAGAGTGGCTGCTTGTAACCTTGAGGTTTTCTGAATTGTAAGAGAGTCGCTTTGTTTCTTTCCTGTGATTTGACTTGGTAGTAGTAGGCGCATATCAAAATGCGTTAGCTGTGCGACAGACCAACGGTGGGCACCATCAGCACGGGAGGAAATAACTGTTCTGTACCTTCTGTCAGCCAGGAGGGACTGTGGCTGTTTGAGGTGAGCTATCGCTTACCTATTTCACAGGCGTATAGGTGCTGTAGCTTCCATCAAGATGAAATAAAAACAAAGCTTAACGTTATCAGCGTCGCTTCAGCAGGTCTGAAATGGGTAGTTTTGCACTGCTGCTTGTAAAAAATTTCGTAATTGTGCAAATAGGATTGCTTTGTAAACCATTTCCAGACAGTGTTTAAGCAGAAATGTTCATAATACATCTGTGTTAGAATGCTGTCAGCAAGGGTTTTACCAGCTGGGAGGTTTGTCAGTGTGTTGTGTACATCTTATTTAGTTTTTCTGACCTGTAGCAGTGTAAGAAGTAAAAAAAGATTTTTCTGAACATGCCTGCTTCTGTAATGAAAATAGGGTACTAAGTAGCTTGCAGTTTAGAAACACTCATTGGGCTCCTTACTCAGTTTGGTGCGTTTCTTTTCTCTATAGCTGGTAGAATTTCTTAAAAGTTCAGCTAGAAATGAATCCGTGGTGTTAACTCCCTCCCAGCATGTCTGAAATATCCGAATATTTACTTAGATCACTGCCTCTGAGGCTCTAATAATAGCTCTTCATTTTATGAAATGGGTTGTACTTCCTCTGTACCTGAAGAAGACAACTTGTCTCTGATAATTAATGTAAATTGCTGTGTTTCCTAGTGTGTATAAAACAGCATATAGAATCTCCAACTCCAGTAAAATAAAGAAATCCTATATAGATTCCCTTTTACTCTAGAATTGCTTACAATTAAAGTTTGATTCTGGCAGTATCCTTATTTTCTGTTGTTTTTTCTCATTTTGGCACTTTACTAGCTTGGTCATTTAAAGCTGTATTTTGTTCATAAAAGGAAAGCAGTTGTAATATTAGCTGAGCATACTGTTCAGAAATTCATAAAACTGTATATGCGTTTTAAACTTTCTGCAAGGGTTCACGGAAATCTATACAACTTCTGAGGAATACTAAAGATTCTTTTGTGGACATCCTTCTGGTTTGCAAATCAGCTGTTACTTACAGCTCTCTTTCTTTTACAAAAAAATAAAATAGTCTCCTTCTCTTGGATGTATTTGGAGAATGTCATTGATCTTTGCGTGCAGTTGGTCTCTTCACCTGTTGTAGTGCTGGCATAATTCGAGGTTGTTTAATTTAGGATCTCCCTCTAGTGGAGGCAAAGACTTTCTGTCATTCTGATGACTTCAGAGTGCAGAAAGGAAGCGTTTGAAGTCAGAGTAGAATAAAGGCTTCACAACTGGCAATTTCCTTGTAATAAGACAGTACAGATTTGTCTCAAAGGACTCTGAACTGATGGCTGCCGTGTCAGTGAAATTACCTGGAATATGTGCCCTCTTTTTTTTCCTCTCGCCGATTTGCAGTGCTGATCATGTGATCATCCTAATTTCTGTTGTGCTTGGACTCTGTTTATTTAAATCAGTGCAATGGCCAAAGTGTTTTCATTCCATGCTGATTTGAATGATTGCATTAGCTAGTAGCTATTCAACCAGACCCTCTTTTCCTGCTGGCTAGTTGAGCAGATTGTAGCCCACCTGCAAGTACATAAAACAAAGACAACACACTTTGTCCTGAAATATTAAGATAGACTACTAATGACACAAGTTCCTGCCCCATGCTGTTTAGGGGATGTATTAAAAATGAACCAATGTTTGTTTGTGGCACTCATTTGGGAAAATTTTGTAAGACGTACTCATTTCACTAAATAATTGTTTGAGTTGGTCAAAAGTTACACCTTTGATTATCAAATGACAAGTATGGCAGGAGTTTAAGAGGGCTTTTGAAGAGGATTTCTGGCTTTAAGGCTGTGTGCAGTGTGTTCAGATATTTCACTAATTGGTCTTGATTGTCTAAAGTGAAAATGACTGCTTTCTGCAATTGTTTTGCATTGCATTACAAAGAAAATTTTCATATCTGCATTAAGTAGTTGCAATCAGAGTGGCTCTGGAATGAGAGAAAGGCCTCAGTGAAGGGCAGTTAGATGACTGAGAAAATTCTCAGTGTGATAAAATGGATTACTTTGAAGGAATAAGGGCAAGGAGGGGAAGCGTGTGTTGGGAGATGGGAGGTACAAAGGGGTGTCATACTCCATTTTGCTGCAAAGAGTTCCTTCTGGTTCAGTTGGAAGTGGTGTTGCTCCGTGTGGCATCTGTCTTCCGTCTCAGGAAAGCCTTGCTAAGAGAACAAGCAACGAAGTATGATATTCATATATGTGGAATTTGAATTCGAGGAGGTTCTTGTGTTCGTTCATTGCAGAAGGCGAAAGCAGCAGCACAAAATTGAAGGATGTCATACAACTGTAAATAAGCCTGTTCTCGCTCTAGTAGAATTATGTATCTGTAAGATTCATGATGGTTTTAGTACCAATTGTTAACAGTTCTGTATTGGTTCTTGAAAAGATTTGGGGATATTCTGGATAGAATGTCAAGGATAGGAATGGCTTCAGTGAAGGTGTTCTAATGTTGCCTTAGATGACACTTTAATTCATTGGAAAATGGGGAGGAGGAAAAAGAAACGGGGACCCTGGAAACAAAAAAACCTATCTTGTTAGTCTAATCGTGGAAGAAAAATGCCTTTTTTTTCAGGAGGTTAAAGTTCTTTGAAATTATTAGTATCCCTAGAAGTTAGGTTGTCCGGTTATTAAATAATCAAACCTTTCTG